TCCATTCACTGATAATTTATATCAAGAAGCTTGGAACACATTATTAGACAGGTTTGACAAAAAGTATTTTTTAGTAGATAGTCATTTAAATTCAATTCTTAACATAGAGCATTGTTCTAAAGAATCCTCAACCAGTTTTCGTAGACTATTAGACAATGTATCAAAAAATCTTGTATCTTTACAAAACATAGGTATTAGTAAAGACCAGTTGTGGGATTTTCTAATTATACATTTAGTTTCATCAAAATTAGATAAAAATACTTTTAGAGAGTGGAAAGAGAAAAAATTTAGTGGTGAACTTCCTCACATGGAGGAATTCTTAGAATTTCTTAAATCAAAAGCAGACATATTGGAAATCATACACAACACTACAAATGTAAACATTAATCCTAGTTCTAATATAAAACCAAACAAAACAAAAAATCATTCACATTTTAATTTAGCAATTTCCAGCCATAACTCAAATAATAATTACAAAAAATGTAATTTTTGTAAAAAGAATAACCATACAATATACAGTTGCTCTGATTTCTTAAAACTAAATATCAATCAAAGAAAAGAATCAATTTCACAACTACAGTTGTGTGTAAACTGTCTGAGGATAGGACATAAGGTTGAATCATGCTATTTAGGGCCTTGCAAAATTTGCAATGTAAAACATAATTCATTAATTCATGAACAATCCAATAATCCAACATCTACCAATTTATTCATACAACCTCAACATTCAAATACACAAATTCTATTATCCACTGTAGGCTTTTATGTTAAAGATACGGTAGGCAACCAACATTACTGTCGAGCTCTATTAGACAGTGGTTCACAAAACAATTTAATTACACAAGGGTTTTGCAATAAAATTGACATACCTTTAATAGATTCAAAACTATCCATAGTTGGAATTAATCAAGTAACATCACATTTATCAAAAAAATGCAATTTGACTATTTTTCTAAAATTGACAATTATCAAACAACAATTTCATGTTATGTGATTTCCAACATATGCAGTGAAATACCTGCAGAAAAACTAATCCACCCATCTTTAATTATCCCTAAAAATATTCAATTATCAGATGAACAATTTTTTGAACCTGGAGAGATTGATATGCTTATAGGTGCAGATCTTTTTTGGGACCTTCTAACAGAAGGAAAAATATATCTTGGTAACGGGTTACCTATTTTACAAAATACTAAACTAGGCTGGGTTGTTTCAGGAAAAAGTCCTGTATCAACTTCATTATCCAGATGCAATTTTGCAAACACAATTTATTCAGAAGATGCTCAATTAAAAAGATTTTGGGAACTAGAAGAAGTACCTGTAAATTCAGTCTTGCCAAAAGATGAATCAGATTGTGAAAATCATTTTCACAAAAATACTACTAGAAATGAAGAGGGTCGTTTTGTAGTAAAGTTATCATTAAAACTATCTCCTGATGTATTAGGGATTCATTCAATGCAGCTTGTACCAGGTTTGTAAATCTAGAAAAAAGATTTAATCAAAACAACAATTTTCAAATTCAATATTCACAATTTATTAAAGAATATATTTCCTTAAATCATATGACTAAGATAGATATGTCACAAGATAATCCTAATAAAACATACTATTATTTACCACATCATGGTGTTCTCAAAGAAGAAAGTCTCACAACAAAACTACGTGTAGTTTTTGATGGTAGCTGTGCTTCTTCTACAGGCTACTCATTAAACGATTTACAATACATTGGTCCAAAAGTCCAAAATGATATTATCAGTATTTTACTAAGATTTAGAATGTTTAGATATGTAGTTTCTGCAGACATTACAAAAATGTATAGACAAATTTTAATTCACAATGATCATAAGTCATTACAAAGAATTGTTTGGAGAGATAATCCAGAACAAGACCTTTCAGTTTATGAGCTAAATACAGTGACTTATGGAACAACTTCAGCTCCATATTTAGCAATAAAATGTTTACAAACATTAGCTCAAGAACATATAAATTCATTTCCATTAGCATCACAAACAATTCTAAAAGACTTTTATGTAGATGATCTACTCACTGGTTCTAATAGTATCTCTGAATTAATTCAAACATGTCAAGAAGTCTCATTCATTCTAAATTCTGCTGGATTTCCTCTAAGAAAATGGACTTCTAACAATCCAAATGTTCTTCAAACCATTTCCAGTAATGATGATTCATTAGCCATATTAAAATTAGGACAAAATGATGCTTCAAAAACATTAGGTATATACTGGTACAGTCAATTAGATGTTTTAAAATATTCAATTAATAAAAATATTTATCCATTAACGAGTTCACTTACAAAAAGACAGGTACTCTCAGATATAGCACAAATTTATGATCCATTAGGTTTAATCAGCCCTTGTATAATTATAGGAAAAATAATGATACAAAAATTATGGTCATTAAACATGGCATGGGATGAACCCATTCCAGATGATCTATCTTTACAATGGCAACAGTTTAGAACTGAATTGTCAGAATTAAATCAATTATCCATTCCTAGATATGTTATAAAAAATGAGTATAAATTGATAGAGATCCATGGTTTTTGTGATGCTTCTCGTGATGCATATGCTGCATGCATTTTTGCACGCAGTTCAAATTCGCAAGGAGAATTTCATGTACAACTATTATGCTCGAAAACTAAGGTGGCACCACTTAAGTCATTAACAATTCCAAGATTGGAATTATGTGCAGCCTTATTACTTGCACAATTATCTATTCAAGTAAAAACATCACTATTCAATCTTCCTAATGATATACCATTTTATTATTGGTCTGATTCACAAGTGGTGCTCTGTTGGTTAAAAACAGATCCAAACTCTCTAGAAATTTTTGTGGGCAATAGAGTGGCAAAAATTCAAAATTTAACTTCTATCTCAAATTGGAGTTATACTAATACAAAAACAAATCCTGCTGATGTTGCCTCCAGAGGCATACTACCAAACAAATTAAAATACCACCATATATGGTGGACAGGGCCAGAGTTTTTATGTGAACCAAACAGTCAATGGCCTCAATATTCATTTAATATATCCAAATCAAAATTACCAGAATTAAAAAGGATTCCAACAACAATTCTTTCAAATATTTCTGTCAATTCGTTAGAAATATTTACAAAGTTTTCTAGTTATTTAAAGTTAGTCAGAACAATTGCATATTGTAAAAGATTTATTCATAATTCAAAAAATAAAACCAATCAATACTTGGGTCCGTTACAAGCAATTGAAGTTGATCAAGCACTGCTAACATTAATCAAACTAGCTCAAAAGGATTCATTTAATGACACATTAATTCTTTTGTCTCATAAACCATTACCCCGTAACCATAAATTATCTTCTTTATGTCCTTTTTTGGATGAGCAAGGTATTCTTCGTGTAGGGGGACGATTAAAATATACTAATTTACAAACAAATATTAAACATCCTATCCTTATAACTTCAAATCATCCATTTACTAAACTAATTTTTATTCATAAACATAACTATTTATTACATCCAGGGCCGCAATTACTATTGGCAACAGTCAGACAAAAATATTGGCCTATTGGGGGGAAAATTCTTGCAAAAAAAATTGTCAAGAATTGTATTCAGTGTTTTAGACACAAACCAGTTGCATCCATTGCCCCTATGGGTAGCTTACCTAATAATAGAATTTCACCATCTTTTCCATTTCAAGTCACCGGAATAGATTATGCAGGTCCATATAACATAAAAGACAGAAAGGGAAGAGGTGCAAAAACAACAAAAGGTTACATTTGTGTGTTTGTATGCTTTGTAACTAAAGCTATTCACCTTGAGCTCATTTCAGATATGACAACAGAATGTTTTATAGCATGTCTGCGAAGATTTGTTTCACGTCGGGGAATACCCAACCACATTTATTCTGATAATGGTAAAACATTTCAAGGTGCATATAATGAACTCAATGAATTGTACAAGTTTATTCAAAATAATCATAATACATTAATAGATTATGCAACTAGCAATAATATAAGTTGGCATTTTTCTCCTCCTTACAGTCCTAACTTTGGTGGCTTATGGGAAGCCGCAGTTAAATCAATGAAACATCATCTTAAAAGAACTCTGTTAAATTCTATTTTAACCTATGAAGAGTTTTTAACACTCATAATTCAAATTGAAGGCATTTTAAATTCAAGACCGCTCTATGCAATTTCAGATGACCCAAATGATTACGAGCCTCTGACTCCTTCCCACTTCCTTTTGGTCATCCTATTACTTCTCTTCCTTCCTTAGACTTACTGAAGTAGCAGAAAATAGAACCACAAGACTTCAAGCTGTTCAACGTTTGCAACAACAGTTTTGGAATCGATTTTCAAAAGAATACATCAGCCAGCTCCATCAACTATATAAATGGAAGTCTCCACAGTCAAAACTCTCAGTTGGGAGTCTGGTATTAATCCGTAATGACCACTTACCACCACAAAAATGGCAACTAGGTCGAATTTTGCAGCTGATTCCTGGTCCAGATGGTATTCATCGAGTATCACTTGTGTCCACTACAAAAGGTGTCCTAAAACGATCTGTGAGACATCTACATCCACTACCTCTCCAAGATGAAGCTTCAAGTGAAAATTAATAAAGACAATTATCGTGAAATACACATTATTTATATTTTGAAGGTTCCCTTCAAAGGGGGGCTATGTTAGGATTTTTATGTTTCAATGTTTTTGTACTCAGCAGTTGGTACAACTGATTTTATAAAAAAAGAAGAAGTTTGACTTGACATATAACCTATATATGACAGATGTATCCATGTGTGAAATAAAAAACAAAAAGTAAAAATCTTTATTCATCATACAATCCAATACCCTATGGAGTACAAAAAACACAACATAACGACTTCCAAGACCCTATTCTGAATTTTTCTAATTTGTTATTACAATTTATAAATTATAAATTATAAATTATATTAATTGTAAGTTAGTTACAATTTATAAATTATATCCTTATATTCTAATGACTTACTGTTGGATTCCACATTATTTATGATATAAACCAATATAGCACAGAAATAGATTATCTTCATCTCATCAATTATTTATTTATTTTCACTATTGTTACGGAAAAAGTCTTACGCCTTAGCCCGTTAATTCAATTAGATTTAGTACAGCTTCATAAAATCTAATTGAACCTTGACACTGGGCTCGTTATGATAAGCTAATATGATTTTACAGGTTCGGCTTGGAGATGCCCATAATTTAATTTTTATTTTTGATATACAGTAAGATTTTTTTACGCGATTTTAAAGCTGTGCGCTTTGTATTTCATTCAAAGATTTCTATTATTAACTATTATAATTAAATATGTATTAACTATTCTTAAAGTGAGTATTTGCAATTTGGGGATTCCCTTGTTTCATGATGTCCCTATTACACTATTGCGAGTTTCGCATTGAAATGTATAACCTGTTATTGTTTTAAAATAATTTTTCTCTTAGCAGTGCTTCGTTTTATAATAAGTTGGTTAAAATTTTGCTGATTCAAGTTGTAGAACGGCTTTCGGATTTGAAGATTTCAAATAAATGTCGTTCGTTAAGTTTTATTTTTCATTAGAAGAGGTTTTTGCCATCTCAATATCGTAAGTCTAATTTTTTTATTTCTTTTTTTAAGACTTTATTTGGTCCAATTGCGACAAAAAAATCATCAAAGACAATAAATTTTGTTGGAAACGAAAATTGCAATTTTAGATCGCTTAGGAAAGGGAAAATGATCTACGGCAATTGGAAAACATTTTAATTTAGGCGAATCAACTGCAAGAGCAATTTAGAAGTTAAGTTGCTATAAGAAAATCTATAATTTCTGGTACAAAATTAAATGCCAAATTTTAAGCTTACTCAAGAGGTGTATTATTAGAAAGAACAGAAAGAGCCATCGTAATTTAGATTAAGGAACTAATACAAAGAAGAATTTCTGTAAGTGGTTATTTAATCTAGGAAAATGCCTAACTGTACTTACATAGTAAAGGATGAAAAAAACTGCAAGTGGACATAATGCAAGTAAACATGGAGTAATATTATTACATACTTTGTAGCAAAACTTTGTAGTCTTATCAGGAGATAAGATGCACAATATTCCACTAATAATAATAAATTTGAAGAAGTCAAAGTCAAGTTTGGGTCATAGAAATACACTGGACAACTGACAAATTCGTTTATTCTAAAATAAAAAACTGTATATATTTTATTTACATATATTTGCCTTACTATTGTAATAATGTATTAAATATGATACAATATATTATTTTATACTAATCTACAATAATTGAATTAAATTTTTTAATATAACAATCTTAATAATTATTCAAAAGGCATAAATGTGCAACAATTACTAACATAATAGTACAGTTGAAAACAAACAAAGATATTCATTGTTTAATAAAGTAATTTAATACTATCTTATTCTTTTTAATAGATATTTTATTCATATTTAATCCGTAAACTTTAACCATCTAAGCTCCTTCAATGAAGCTGAGCTCCAATTCTCGTACCATTTGTTTGACTTGTACTCACTGGTATCTATGTCTGACTCTTACTACACTTGCAAATTTTCTGGTATCGTCAAATCGCTTTCCATATCTTTTCCAGATCTTTTACCATATCCCAGTTTTTATTTGGGGTCATTGTTTTAATTTTAAGAGTTACTCCTTTGATATTTCCCAATATTTTCATTTCGATCCTTCTATTTATTCTTTCTATTGTTAATGATTTGTCTCTGAATTCTATGGTGTTTTTGTATATAGTATAATCCAAGGAATAAAGATCTTAAGCATTCATTATATATTCTGATCTAGCTCTGTTTTTAAACTATCTTAAGGATAATTTAAAACTGCAACTTATTTTACATAAAATGTTGTAACTTATAATGAGATTTTAACTTTACTTATTTTGAATTTAGTTTTTATGTAGCTGATATACACTGCTCTCCAAAATTAACAAACCAACGTAAACGTACCATAAGTTTGAAGCTATCTTTCTTCTGACTCGTTAATTGGATTTTGATGATTTTTATTTCACATTCTAGGTCTATTTTTAAGGAATTATTTTATCAATAATTTTTGAGAAATATTAATGTTTTACTCATATACGGAGTGTAAAAAAGTTCTGTTTTTACATGGTATTTTGCAGTTACCTGTGGAATTATCAAAAAAACGCTACATTTTATTAATACTGTGAGATGGCTTCATCTTTACTCAACATTTTCATAAAACATTATATTGATATTGTTTATTATTAAGAAAGAAAAATACGTTTAAAGCATCACGTGATTTTATTGAATTATAATAATCATTGATGGAATATAAGTAGTGGAAATCACATTCAGATGGCAGTGTACAGATATAGGATATCAGCGTTGCCAATTCTACTGCCATTATAAATTTTGCTACTTTTGTAAAATAAGCAGGGCCAAACTCAGGTTAGACTAAGATATGTTTAGGTACGTTAAAATTTTTAATAGAATATTCGTGAATGAAATAAATGGCCATATTTCCTAAAATGCTTTTAGGTATGCATAATAAAGATAATTTAAAAGTGTCCATTAAAGTGGGAACAAGAATCATAGGAGACTTCACCACAACAAAAGGGCTCCTGCAGAGTTGTTCCCTCTCCTTCAATCTTCTTGATGAGTCATCTGCTTAAAATATTTCTTAGAGTCATCCTCAACCGAATCTATCAAAAGTTATATATCGATATTAACGATACACAGATGGAATTCAGAAAAGGATTAGGTACAAGAGAAGCTCCCTTTGCCGTAAACGTCCTAGCACAGAGATGTGCAGATGTTAACCAAGAGGTACACACGCGTCCTTTATAGACTTTGAAAAGGCCTTTGGCAAAGTACGCCACAATAAACTCAAAGAAATCCTGGAGAATAAGAACATCGACACCAGAGACATACAAATAATATTAAATCTGTACTGGTATCAGTAAGCTAATATAAAAATAGAAAACCAAACATCGGACGAAATAGAAATACGTAGAGGAGTACGACGGGGTTGTATATTGTCACTGCTCTTCTTTAATATCTACAGCAAACAAATATGCCAAGAAGCTCTCTCACATGCAAACGAAGGGATAATAGTCAATGGAGAAGTTATCAATAACATTCGATATGCTGACGATACTGTAATAATGGCAAGAACATCGGAAGATCTACAACATCTAGTTGAAAGTATGAATGAGATATGTAATAACTATGGCATAAGGATGAACGTCAAAAAAAACCAAATATATGACCTTCAGTAAGAATTCAATACATGGTACTAGTATCGCAATAAACGGTACCCAACTCGAAAAAGTAAGCGAATACAAATACTTGGGAACCCTCATCAATGAAACAGGTGACCAAAATCACGAAATAAAGAGACGTATTTAAATTGCAAGTTCTACCTTTATAAAAATAAAAAAAATATTTTATAATAGTGATCTTAGTAGTATTCATCTACGAACTAGAATTTTAAAATGCTATGTATTCAGTACTTTGCTTTACGGTTTTGAGGCATGGACTCTTAAACAGATGAATGTTAAAAATCTTGAAAGATTTGAGATGTGGTGCTACCGCCGTATACTAAAAAATAAGTTAGGTAAATAAAACTACAAATGAAGAGGTAATACGCAGAATAAATAACAATCCAGAAGTTATCTTCTTCTTCTTCTTCTGGTTCCTATCCGTTTCGGATGTTGGAAATCATATTGGCATCATAACCTTGCTCGCTGCGGCTCGAAACAGCTCCGTTAAGGTTTTCTTAAACCATGTTCTTAAATTCCGCAGCCATGATATTCTCCTTCTACCGGGTCCTCGCTTACCTTTAACTTTACCTTGCAATATAGACTGCAGCAGGGAGTAACGGTGCTGATTTTCTCATAACGTGTCCCAGATATTGCAATTTTTATGCGTTTGATCGTAAACACAATCTCTGGTTCCTTCTTCATTTTTCCTAGAACTTCATTGTTCGTGATCCTTGCTGTCCATGATATTCTCAGCATTCTTCTATAAAGCCACATCTCAAATGCTTCAAGTTTTTTAATAGTGGTGTCTGTAAGCGTCCATGCCTCCGCCCCGTACAACAACACAGAGAAAACATAGCATCTCAAATGTCTCATTTTTGTATCAAGGGAATGTTGTGACTTTTGAAGATGGCGCTCATTTTGTTAAAGACCATTCTTGCCTTTCCTATGCGGCACTTTATTTCCTGTAAATTGATCCACTGTTGGTTAATAATAGTTCCCAGGTAACAATACTGTTTTACTCGCTCTATCTGCGTCCCATTAATGTATAGATGAGCCCCGTTTATATTCTCCTTGCTGAAAATCATTTGTTTCGTTTTGTGGGTATTAATGTTTAGTCCATACTGTTGACTGTACTCATTTATTCTGTCCATTAGCCTCTGAAGTCCCTCTAAACTATCTGCTATCACCATGGTGTCGTCGGCATATCTAACATTGTTTACTCTTTCACCATTTAGAAGGATGCCTTCGTCTATTCCGTAAAGAGCCTCGTTAAAAATTTTCTCTGAGTACGTATTAAATATCAACGGCGATAGGATAGGATACGTATAGGTATAAAAAGAGAAAACTTGAATACTTAGGCCACCTGATGAGAAGACAAAAGTACACATTCGTACAAAATACAAGGAAAAATCCAAGGATGCAGAAATCCAGGCCCTAGAAGAATGTCCTAGATGAGAAATTTAAGAGAGTAGTTTGGCTGTACCACTAACGATTTGTTCAAAACAGCAATAAATAAAATTAGAATCGCCCTAGAGAAAGCCTTGACTACATGGAAAAGAAAATGAAAAGGCATGGGAGTACCAGTAAGGAACGAATACCTATATACGTTAAGCTTTGCAGACGATCAAGTAGTGATTACACAAGACCAAGACTACCTCAGCTACATGATGAAGAAACTACAAGAAGAATATACCAAGGTTGGCCTAGATTTTAACCTCGCGAAAACAGAGTACCTATTTACAAGTGAAACAGACATAGAAGATCTACAGATTGATGACAACGTACCAATCAAAGGAAATGATAAATTCAAATACTTGGGGTTTCATCTCCCAGCCCTTTGCGTCTACTACTGGACATAGGCCTTCCTCATTCTTGTCTATT